CTCTTGGTATCGCCACTCTCACCACTGGTCCTGAAGGGATCATCCGCCCTGGATTCCCTGTGTTTCCAGTTCCTATCTGTACCAGTGTACAGCCTCTGGTCTAGCTGGATTTGTAAGGTAGAATTGGGGTCATGATAGTGGGGTGGGGGAGAAGCATTAAAGAACTAGAGGAAAATTGTGTTTCATGTTGCTACACCACACCCTGACTGGGTCGTCTCCTCCCCGCAGCCCTTCTGTAAGGGGGTGTCCAGTTGCCTACCGATGGGAAAGTCATTTTTAAACTAAGATTCATAATTCGATTCTTTCAAAGAACAGACTCACTTGATCCACTTATACTTTATTTTAAAACTATTTGTACACTTGGATTCTGCCTTAGGCCCTTGCCAGATACACTAATCATACACTTGCCTACAAACCTCGTAGTCTGAGCAATACTCACACAGCCTTATGGAAAGATAAATATTTAGTGTTTTCAGCATTAACACTGTTTTGGATTATATTTGTTCATTGGCCTTCCAAACCACAACATTTTTAAAAAATTAGTAATTGCAAGCTCATGTCTAAGTGGAAATGTTCAGGATCCATTGCATTCGATCCTCTGAGCTCCCTGGCCCATGGCTTCTGTCCCAGATTCTAGCTTGTACCCGTAAGATCTCGGAATTTCCATATCTGTTTATCAGTTTAAAGTGAGTTAAAATGGAGCTTGGCTGTATGGGGATGGCTCTCGTGTGTTGTGACTTTAAGGCTGATCTGAGTTAATGGTACCCCAGAGAGATTCCTGGTACTCACGACTAGATTCAAGGTAGGTCCATTACTTTAAGCCCCGTGAAGCAAATGATTTAAGCTAATAGTTTTGATCCTCCTGTATCTGTCTGTAAAACTGAGGGTGGCCCTTCTAAAATGATTGCTGGATGTGCCGCATTTTCTTGTGGCTGTGGACCCTGGTTTAATTTTTTTTTTTTTTTAGGGAAATAAATGTTTCATTGAGGAATTAACTATCTTCCCCTCCCCCTTGTTTTAAATAAGTTCTGTAACTCTGAGCAGATCTGGAAAAGGAGTAGGCTTTTCAGGCAGTCGCCTGGGAATGCTATTTGGTGGAAACACCTTTCTAAATGCTGGTTTTCTTCCAGGTGCCTCAAAGAACAACTTCTATCTCCCCAGCATTAGCCAGAAAGAATTCTCCTGGGAATGGTAGTGCTCTGGGACCCAGACTAGGATCTCAACCTATCCGAGCAAGGTAAGGGAAGGGAAATCCCTTACTAACCTTATCATTCATTTGCCACCTGGTCTTTGGTGGGCCAAGACACATGCTTTTTATTGTGTGGTGTGTGTGTGTGTGTGTGTGTGTGTATTAATCTGATATTGTGGGTGATCTTGGGTAGGTGAGTGGATGGATGGATGGATAGGTAGGTAAGTGGTTAGGACAATGAGGAAGCCAACCAGGTGTGCCTTAACTGACAGTTTTAAAATTGGGGGGAGGAAAATAATAAATGCAGCTCTGGTTATAGTTACCCCAAGCCATCACTTCAGAGATTACGTCCTAGGGCCAAAAAACAAAATGGCTGTTTGGAGGTAATTTCTAGCACCAGGTAAAGCAATGTGCCCTGAGAAGCAGTGAGACAATACAACGTAATCGCCAGAACAAGGCCGTGGTGCCCTGACCGACCGCAGCGCGTCCCGTGCTTGGACCGTAACAAGGGAACGAGCGATTCTGAGGCAGTCATCTCCTTGGCCTTGTGGAGGGTAACTGAAATACAGTTAGGCTTCCACTGTTGCTCTGTGCTCTCCTTCCAGAGTTTTCTCTCAACAGCGTATATGCCTGCAGTCAGGAAGCAGCACCAGCCGCCTGGTTGGTGCAGAGGTCTCAGGAGAAGCCAGGGAGTCAGCAGTTAGTTCCCTTAAGAGACGTAAGCTTATGTAAGCCGCGGTTGATCAGGCTTCCCTCGGACGGTTCGCAGTAAACGCAGCCCGTTTTGGGATCAACTGCAAGAGCAAATGGCCAGAGACGAGACGATTAAGAAGGACGCGCTCAGACAGGCTAGCCTCTCCTTGTCTGTGTTCAGAGTCAAGAAGAGACCTTCCCTTGCTAGAAAGAGTGATTGACAGGGAAGGCTGAAATTCTTTGTACCTATCTTTACAATGTGGAATACTTTTGATCGTAATGTTGTAATTTTTCTCTTCCCATGAAGCGGTCAGTCCATGAGATGAAACTATACTCAAAACCATTACCCCTTTCCGGCAGAAGACACGAGCCCATCCTGAATGGCATTGCCTGTTGCAGCAGACTCTAAACCAGCCATTTCGCAGCGCTTGTCAGACTCCCAGCAGAGCTGGCATTGCTAAGCTGCACCGAGGAGGACTGGGGGGCGCTGTGACCAGAGAGCCACTGGGCATCTCTGCTTGAGATGGCCAGTCGGGCTATCAGTCCCCCTCTCCGGGCAGTTGTCAGCCTCTAAGTAGCAGTGCTTCTTGCTCCTTTGAACTCCGCCCTCGATGCTCTGTTCACTGGATCAGTTGCTTAGAATTTCAGTAGCCCTCGATCAACTATCATGTCAACTTAAAGTTTTTCTCCCTCCACCAAGAAAAACCAAAGAAAGAGAACTATTGTTAGATAGTCAAATAAAAAGCAGCTTTAAGAAAAAAATCCCATGTCAAATGTTACTATAATGGCATTAGGGCTCCAGGTGGT